TTAAACAAGTTAAAAAGTAATCGTAAACGATTTACATAAAGCACATTTCCACTTGCATTCATTTCCCATTTGTAAGATGCAACTTCTGTTAAAATCGTAAAAATCCGGGCACAAATATGAAAGATAGCGTTGCACATGAGCAATCCATTTTTGACATGCTATTTCAATTTCAGTTTATAAGAAGAATTTCATTTCAATGCTTTTCTAAATAAGAAAATTGGAACTGCGCATGCGCAAACCTAAATTTTGAAACTAATGTTAGATTTTCCTTTGTTCCAAGCGCCTAAGTATCAAATTTCACTTAAATGCTTCCATAGATAAAAAGTTGGCACTGCGCATGCGCAAAATAAAATTTTGAAACTGGCGCTAGATTTTCCTTTATCCCAAGTGCCTATGTATCAAATTTCGTTTAAATTCTTCCATAAATAAAAAAGTTGGCACTGCGCATGCGCAAAACCAAATTTTGAAATTGGCGTTTTATTTTCCTTTATTCCAAGTGCCTATGTATCAAATTTAATTCAAATACTTTTATAAGTAAAAAAGTTTGCAATTCGGTTTATAAATGGTCGAGATGCGAAACGGGCACTGTGAATTTTGAATCGATTCGATTCAACTTTTGGCATTGCGTATTATATGGCTAAAGCTATGCCCATATTGAATTTCATGCAATTCAGTTCATAACTAACGGAGATGTAAAAGCGATCGAACATTTCTAAACAAAGTTATCGTTCACACGGACAGATAGATGGACAGACAGACAAAGGAACAGACGGAGAGACCAACCGGCAGGCGACAGATAGCAATGCAAAATTATAAACGATCTCTAGGATCGTTAATAAACGGCAAAAGTGTAAAATTATGAACATGTAAAAAACGGTTTTTTGTTTTTTTACAATAACTTTTTTTGTAAGCGGTACAGAAAAAATTCCTTCCTTGGTACAAGACTCGACACCATAACGAACCAAATAGCGAAAAAAGTAGAACATAGCTCTTAAGATAAAGAACTAGTAGCGTCGCAAAACGAGCGGACGGACGGACGGACAAAGTGGCCACAATAGCGCATTTTTTTTTTATTTTTGTGGAAATGCGCTAAAAAAGGGACCTTTACGAACGAAGTTCTGGTCGGACATGGCTACGACTACAGCTGCCTCTCGCATCTATAGGTTTATCTAACGTGTGGGATGGCTTGAGGGACGATGAGGAGTTAGACGACTCTAGTCAGGGAGGTAGTACAAAGAACCCGAATTTGAGGCCGATATACGCGTACACATGGTCTACCCTCCTATCGTAATCCATAATCCACAGTTACATAGTATAGCAACGGCTGTTCAATAATTGTTCTGACCAGATCGGCTGTGTTTGGCAGTCAAAAAAGAACGTAGGTTTGGTGTAACATTGCAAAAACTGTTAAAGCTTTTGACTTGTTGCATACTTTTAGAGTTTATGGATTTTTACTCTTTAATGTCACACCATACGAACTTCTCCATTGCCTTATCCTCATGATAGAAAGAGAAAACCACGTTGGCTACTGCAGCACCTATCCACCTGTTCAAGGGCCCCCCGGCATGAGCTCTTTTTCAGTGTTTGGAAACTTTCCAATTATGACGATGACGAGATCGTCCGCGTATACCTGTGTATATGCTCCGTCCTCGTTCAGAGCGCGGAGGAGCCAGGTGATTAACTAAAAAATGAATATTTAATTGGAAAGAGAGAGAAGTTTGAGATTGACTACAGAAGGATTTCCTTTCATCAGGATAAAATACTCCAAATGAAAATGTACTCCTGCTCTTATATTAACATAAAAAACGTGTTGAACCTTAGATGACTAGTTTAATTACTTAATTCTTGCTTCATGTAGTACTCCTCAAGATTACAAAAAATGGCAATTAATTCTCAACGGTAACATAACGTATAATAGAAAAAGAAAACCAATTATTGCCGTACTGTCACAATGAGCTCATTTACATTAATTCCTATGAAATTTCGAGTAAATTGCCGTACTACAATCACCTGCCCAAAGCGGAGATACAGCATTATTTGTGTAAATTGCTCTACATGACAATCCACTTTGCGTTAATATACTCTTTACGTTTTTATAAAATGCGAAATTAATAAAATGCTTGCTTACTTCATTTTCGAAAAATTCTAATTAAAATCAAGTGTAACGTAAACGTACCATGATTACCAACGTTTATTAACTGTCTTGTTTAATTTGCGTAGAGGAATTTCATTAAAACAAAGAGAGTACGTCAATTTGAATTTTTTTTCAAAAACGATATGGAAAATTGTATATAACCGCAGGGAAATAATGAACACGGATTAATCCATTAATTTTCAATTATCCCACAAATAATATGCAAATTAATGCCATGTTGAAATTAATCACCTATTTACCACATTCAAATTGAAATCGAAACTGTAGGTATCTCGTTTTTCATGAAAATACGTAAAAAAATCATTCCATTGCAATGCTTGAATTTTTTGATTGCATTATAGTTACAATACAACGATATAACTATTATAAGGTACACAGCTTGCTAACCGTTTGTGGAAGGTGCAATTCTGTAAGCATGGACGGTCAGATTTTAGCAATGTGCCCCATTTCGTATGCTGGAGACGCAAATCTTAACATTATGCTAATGACCGAATTACATTAACTACCTGCCTGATCACAAATTCCTTTTATCCATAATAAATTGCTTTAGCTCGTCTCATTTTTAGTGGCGTCGTTTAATGAAAATAAGTTGAAATGTGGTAATTTAGCTTTATGTATCTACCGTTGAGTGTAGGTTACGTACACCAACTCTATAACGCACATTTTCGAATCCCTCACGTTTTTTTCCTAAACCCTTGCAATTTCACATCATTAACTACCATTACATAATTCTTAACTAAGCGTGTGGAAAGATTTCCGATTTCATAGACTGTGTATTCGGTTTTTTATTACTAGATATAGTATTCGCAACCCTTTTACGGTACAGTTAACTACTTTATGTGAAGGTTCTTATACAATTTCAGGGGTTCAGGATTTTATTTTCTATTTGGAACGAAAGATAACAATCACGTTCCACGGAATGCACAATATTTCTATATTTACAAGATGCACGTTGAATACACTCATCACTTTTTATAACGCTGACGTCGTAGACTAGTCAAAGCCGCAATAGTCCACTACAAAAAGGTCTACGATGGTGGCACATCAAAACAAGGATTTGAAAACAAAGGAAACCTCGTTTATATGTTACTTTCAGTTGTAATTTGTGTAGCCGCACTTGCCTCTATTCTTCCATCCTCTAACCGATATTTACAAGAATAACTGTTCCCTTTGGCGTTTTCGTATCAAGTATATCGTCTATCACGAGACTTGGACTTACAGAATCAGACAAATGCATATATGAAATGCACAAGGGTTTCGCCAGATTTAAAAGATTCTCAGAATGGAAAGCTATCCCCAATTATCTCGCTTTTCATCGTATCGCTACTTAATTCGGATTGGTGCAATATAACAATTTTAAGGGACAACGAAGGGTTTAATTTTCTCGTATTTTTTGGATTGACAGACACCTTTTTGGTAATTCTTAATTGGGGTTTCTTTTATTTGAGCTCTGACGACCAACGACCAATTAATTTTTTGTTAACTGCAATGAATTCTCTTCGACACCGACGATTTACATCCTTTTGATTACTTGACCCTTTTAGTTCTTTTAATACTTTTGAACCTTTTGAACCTTTTACCCTTTTGGTAGTTTTGATCGTTTTGAACCTTTTGATCGTTTTGATTCTTTTGATCTATTTGACCCTTTGGACATATTTGACCCTTTTGACTCTTTTGGTCCTTTTGACCCTTTTGATCCTGTTGATTCTTTTAATCCTTTTCACCCTTTTGATCCTTGAAATGTGCATGGTAATGGCGATTAAGAGGAAGAGAAAAGAATTGCAGATATCGCGTATACTTTGCACCCATTTATGTTTTCCATTTTAGGTACCACACAAATCCAAAATTTTCGGCGATTAATGGAATCTATAGAGTATCTTGTAATTTAAGTATACACACAAATTAGGGATGTAACTATAACGGGAGCATGCTTTGCAGTTTATATTTTTCAAATTTTATATATGGGGAGGATGCTTATGTACCACTTCATTGGGATGGTAGGCGCGAGTCAGTTTCTTAGCGATAAACATACGCGTTAGAACACGTTGTGTTTACCGAGATAGCAGTGATGCCGTGAGCTTGTCACGGATTTTCTTGTCGGCGAGCGGATCAACAGTTAGTGTTGCCTTTAAAATGA